AGGGATGCAAGGATGGTACAAAATTCAAAATCTGTCAACATCATCCACCACATCAAAAAAACAAAGGACAAAAACCACATGATCATCTCCATAGATGCTGAAAAAGCATTTGATAAAATTCAGCATCCACTCATGATAAAAACTCAACAAAATGGGTATAGAGGGCAAGTACCTCAACATAATAAAGGCCATATATGACAAACCCACAGCCAACATCATACTTAACAGTGAGAAGCTAAAAGCTTTTCCTCTAAGATTGGAAAAAATACAGGGATGCCCACACTCCCCACTGTTATTCAACATAGTATTGGAGGTCCTAGCCATGGAAATAAGACAAAACAAAGAAATACAGGGCATCCAGATTGGTAAAGAAGAAGTCAGAATGTCACTACTTGCAGATGACATGATATTGTACATAAAAAACCCTAAAGAATCCACTCCAAAACTACTAGAACTAATATCCAAATTCAGCAAAGCTGCAGGATACAAAATTAATACACAGAAATCTGAGGCTTTCCTATACACTAACAATGAACTAGCAGAAAGAGAAATCAGGAAAACAATTCCATTCACAATTGTGTCAAAAATAATAAAATACCTAGGAATAATCCTAACCAAGGAGTGAATGAACCCTGAAAACTACAAGACACTCTTAAGAGAAATTAAAGAGGACACTAACAAATGGAAACTCATCCCATGCTCGTGGCTAGGAAGAATTAATATTGTCAAAATGGCCATCCTGCCTAAAGCAGTCCACAGATTCAATGCAATCTCTATCAAAATACCAACAGCATTATTCAACAAACTGAAACAAATAGTTCTAAAATTCATATGGAACCACCAAAGACCCTGAATAGCCAAAGCAATCCTGAGAAGGAAGAATAAAGTGAGGGGGATCTCGCTTCCCAACTTCAAGCTCTACTACAAAGCCATAGTAATCAAGACAATTTGGTACTGGCACAAGAACAGAGCCACAGACCAGTGGAACAGAATATAGAGTCCAGATATTAACCCAAACATATATGGTCAATTAATATACAATAAAAGAGCCATTGACATACAGTGAGGAAATGACAGCCTCTTCAACAACTGGTGTTGGCAAAACTGGACAGCTACATGTAAGAGAATGAAACTGGATCATTGTCTAACCCCATACACAAAAGTAAATTAGAAATGAATCAAAGACCTGAATGTAAGTCATGAAACCATAAAACTCTTAGAAAAAAACATAGGCAAAAATCTCATGGACATAAACATGAGCAACTTCTTCATGAACATATCTCCCCGGGCAAGGGAAACAAAAGCAAAAATGAACAAGTCAGACTATATCAAGCTGAAAAGCTTCTGTACAGCAAAGGACACCATCAATGCAACAAGAAGGCATCCTACAGTATGGGAGAATATATTCATAAATGACAGATACGATAAAGGCTTGACATCCAAAATATGTAAAGAGCTCATGCACCTCAACAAACATAAAGCAAATAATCCAATTAAAAAGTGGGCACAGGATCTGGACAAACACCTCTCCAAAGAAGAAATTCAGATGGTCAGCAGACACATGGAAAGATGCTCCACATCACTAATCATCAGAGAAATGCAAATTGAAACCACAATGAGATATCAGCTCACACCTGTTAGGATGGCCAACATCCAAAAAACAAACAACAACTGTTGGTGAGGTTTTGGAGAAAGGGGAACCCTCCTACACTGCTAGTGGGAATGTAAATTAGTTCAACAATTGTGGAAAGCACTATGACGGTTCCTCAAAATCTCAAAATAGAAATACCATTTGACCCAGGAATTCCACTCATAGAAATTTACCCTAAGAATGCAGCAGCCCAATTTGAAAAAGACATATGCACCCCTATGTTTATCACAGCACTATTTACAGTAGCCAAGAAATGGAAGCAACCTAAGTGTCCGTCAGAAGATGAATGGATAGAGAAGATGTGTACCTATACACAATTGTATGTTATTCAGCCTTAAGAAGAAAACAAATCCTACCATTTGCAACAACATGGATGGAGCTAGAGGGTATTATGGTCAGTGAAATAGCTAGGTGGAGAAAGACAAGTGCCAAATGATTTCACTCATATGTGGAGTATAAGAACAAAGAAAAAAACTGAAGATACAAAACAGCAGGAGACTCACCGAACCCACGAATGGACTAACAGTCACCAAAGGGAAAGGGACTGGGGAGGATGGGTGGCAAGGGAAGGACAAGGGGGAAAAAGGAGCATTATGATTAGCAGACATAATGTATGAGGGGGCACAGGGTGGGCTGTACAACACAGAGAAGACAAGTAGTGATTCTACAGCATCTTACTATGCTGATGGACAGTGACTCTAATGGGGTATGTTGGGGCAACTTGGTGATGGGGGCAGTCTAGTAAACATAATGTCCCTCATGTAATTGTAGATTACTGATTCCAAAATAAAAAAAAAATCTGTAGGTGGTGGAGACAGGGAGCTCATCCTTACAGCCCCTCCTGTGCCTCAGTATCAGGAAATTCCACCTAACCTAGCTGTTCCCATTCCTAAAGTTTCAGTAATGGCCCATTCCATTTTAAATGTGAGAGGGCCATATTGATGCTTTCTCATTGCCTATCACAGCATCTGCATTTCCTGTTGCTGTACAACAAATACCTGCCAATGATCAATATCCTCAGGGATATCAACAGTTTGAATATACTCTTTTATCTTTTAAAGTTATAAAGTACTTGAAAGAAGTAGTGACTATGTATGGGATAAAATCTAATTATGTTAAAGGGCTGTTACAAGTATTAAGTCAAGAATACTGCTTAATCCGTTATGACTGGGGTATGTTAGCTAGAACAGTGGCCTTTAACAAAAGAGAAGCTTCAAGCATTAGAGCAATTAATACAAGAACAGCTGTCTGCTGGATTGTTTTTTCTCCATTCCATTACAACCTTGTGATTGTGAGAAGTTTGCTTTCACTATTCCATCTCCCAATAATTATAAACCTACTGCTAGGTATCAATGGAAAGTTCTGCCTCAAGGAATGTTAAATAGCCCTACATTATGCCAGTACTTTGTTAATCAACCTTTAAAAAAATTAAGGAAGAGATTTCCTGATTCCTTAATTATTCATAATATCAATGATATTTTAATTGCTCATAAAAATTTGCCCACTTTACAAAACCTCTATGAGCAAGCTGTTGCAGAATTAACCGCTTACAGTCTTATTATTGCTTCTGAAAAGGTACAGGACAGTACTCCATATAATTATTTAGGAAAAATCCTTCCACAAAAGTTCAAATCAGGAGAGACAGTCTCAGGATTCTAAATGATTTTTCAGAAGCTCTTAGGTGATATCAATTGGCTTTTCCCTTCATTAGGAATCTCAAGCTATTCACTCAAGCATTTATTTAATACTTTAATGGGGAATTCTGAATTAAATAGTCGCAGATAATTGTCACCTCAAGCTGAAAAAGAATTAGAATGGATAGAAGAACATATGAGAAATAGTTATTTAGATCACATTGATATACACACAATATGATGTTGAGTTATTAGTATTTTCTTCTGAGCATTCCCTACTGGTATGGGAAAAAGGAAAAATTTTAGAATGGATATTTTTTACCACATGAGACATCAAAGAAATTACATAGATAAAATTTGTCAGTTAATTATTCATGGGCGCTTACTATTGCGTGCCTTAATTGCATTAGACTCTTCTCATATTGTTGTTCCTCTTACTAACACCCAAATAGCTGAGAACTGGACATTGAATTATAACTGGTAAACAGTCTTTGCCAATTACATAGGAACTATCAGTAATCATTTTCCAAAAGCAAACGTATTCAATTTCTTTAAAAACTCAGTGGATTTGTACTGACATTATTAAAACTCATCCTATCTCAAAAGCTGATACTTATTATACAGATGCTAATAAGGAAGGCAAAGCAGGATACAGTGCAAAAACTACAAAAATTGTCCAAATTTCTTATCAGTACAAAAGCCTGAATTATATGCCATTATTATATTATTACAAGATGTTACAAGTCCCCTTAATAGTGTTACTGACTCATAATGTGTTGAATATATAGTAAAACATATTTACTCTGCTACTCTATTTGAAGATGGCACTGAATTGTAACAATTATTCTGTACTTTGCAACAATCATCGTATGATAGACATCATGATCTTTATATTACTCATATCCAAGCACATATCTCCCTCCCTGGACCAATGACCAAAGCTAATGAACATATTGATAAATTACTTGTTGGATCCCTATTGACTGCTAAGGCATGGCATGAACAAACTCATGTTGACAGAAAAGGTTTAAAGTTAAATTTCACCTCACTAGAGAACAGGCTCAAGATATCATTTACCAATGACCTCAGTGTACTCAAATTCAAAGTAAACCTTACACCCCAGGGGTCAACCCAAGACAATTGCACCCTAATGAACTGTGGCAGATGGATGTCACCCATATTCCCGAGTTTGGGAAATCCTATGCTGATTGCTCAACTGATACATATTCTGGGTTTAGATGAGTTTCTGCATTATCAGGAGAAACAGCTGATATAATGTGATTCAACATTTACTTGAAGCTTTTAATGTCATGGGATTGCCAGCCAAAATTAAAAAAGATAATGCCCCTAGTTATCTTTTGGCAAAATTACAAAAGTTTCTTTCCCAGTGGGATATTAAGCATGTTACTGGGATTCCAGATAACCTCCAGGGACTGGCAATTACTGAAAGACATAATTGTACATTAAAAGAGATGTTGCTTAAACAAAAAGGGGGCTGTTGTGGCATAGAAACTCCCTGTATGAGAATACATAGGGCATTATTTACCATGAATTTTTTAAATTTAAGTGATACAGGTTCATCAGCAGCCGGCAGACATTGGGTACAGGAAAGTCCCCAGAAATAAATCAGCCTGTTTTTTATAAAAATGACATGGGAGAATGGGAATCAGGGATGGTTCAGAGGTGGGGTCAAGGGTATGCTTGTGTCATTACAGAAACAGGAGAAACTGTGTGGATCTTGGCTAAAAAGATAAAACCCAGAAAATGAATAAAAGGCCTGGAGTTGATGTTGAACCTCCCATTGATGAGATGAGAACCATGACTATTGGAAGATGCAGAGTTCGAGCTCCATTACCAAGAACTCGAAAAGTGAATCCCCCAGCATGGGGACAACTAAAAAAGATGACATGGGAAGTTGAGAAGATTGTACAACAGACCGGACAGGCATGCAGCACTTCAAATTTGTTTCTGGCTATGATTGCCGTGTTCACCATGAGGGTAAGTTCTGCCAATGCCACTAATTATTCATATTGTGCTTACATTCCTATTCATTGGCTCTCTGAAATGGTCCCAATATATGTTAACGATTCCAATTGGACTCCTGGTCCTTATGACACTTGTGGCTCCTTAAGGCCAGGAGAAGAGGACGTGAAAATTGAGAATTATACAGTGGGAGTAGAGGGGATACCCATTTGTATTGGACGTGAAAACCACTGCTTGAAAATACAACCAGCTGTATGGCTATTCATTGTTAAAAATGATACCTATAAAGAATCAAAGCAAAAATTATTCCTTCTTCAAGCATTTGGATTCCACAAAATAATTAATACAAATGACATAACACATCATCCCCCTGATTTGCCCATCTGCACCCAGCCAATAGCTATGAAAACCAGTGAATGGGTGCACTGGACGAATTGTCGAGGAGAAATAGGTTGGGTTTTACTTAATACTTCCTATGGAAGCATCATTGATTGGAGCCCTCAAGGTTCCACCCGGACCAGAGGACAGGGGCATGACCTGAGATGGCATAAGGATATTAATGGCACAAATTACACCATTTATACATTTTCTAATGGGACCATTTATTGGCATGGAGGTGGAATGTCTCCTCCTGCCCCACGTTTACTTTTGGGTCCCTGCAGTATCACTTACGTAAAATTCCCTAGGCTCTACGGGGTCTCACAGCTTGGAAAGGCCATATTTGGAATAATAGTTTTACAAAAAATAGTCAACTGAGTTTTACAAGAAACGAAAGTCATTATGTTACAACCTGTGTCAGATTGCCCTTTTTAATTATGATTGGTCACACAGTGTGGAGTTCGTCCAGATATTCCGTCTCCTGTGTAAATTGTTCATGCTATACTTGTATTAACAACTCTGTTCCTTTTCCCACAAAAGATAGTCTTTATATTCTTCAGACTAGAACAGGTCTCTGGCTTCCAGTTTAACTACCCTGAAAGTGGCAAGATTCTCCAAGCCTGATGCTTCTCCAATGTACTATTGACAATCTTTGGAAAAGAACTAAACGAATGATTGGATTAATCATTGCAGCTGTTCTGGGAATCACAGCCATAACCGCAGCTGCCGTAACCGCTGGAATTGCACTTCAGCAAAGTATCCAGACTGTGGACTTTGTTAATAATTGGCATTCTTATTCGTCGAAATTGTGGTCCACCTAAAGACAAATAGATAGTGAAATTAATGCACAGTTGACTGATTTGCAACAAGCAGTTCTTATGCTAGGAGATCAAATTGTTAGTTTGCAACATCAAATTTCTGTGAAATGTGATTGGACTACAACCAGGTTTTGTGTTACTCCTGTTCCTTATAATTATACTTAATTTCCATGGAACAATCTTAAAAGGCATTTGTTAAATCATGGCAATATGACTCAAGAAATATTAGACCTTCAACAGCATATTACTGATACTTTCCAGGAACAATTACAGGTATTAAGCGGGTCTAATTTACTGGAAAGTATTGCAGAAAGAATAAATAATTTGAACCCAATCCAACACCTAAAAATATTTAGTGGTTTCACTGCTACACTTACAATAATTGTATTATGTTTGTTATTTGTGTTTTGTATAGTCTGGAGAAGAGCTGCCCAAAAACATCAACGTGCTCAGCAGCAATCAGCAATCTTCTCACTAATGCTACAAAAGATGCAAGCTAAACAAAAAGGGGGAAATGTAGATATCCCAGCAGTTAACCTTGCTGTAACTTAGTTCCCACTTAAACTTAATCTATAGCCGAAACTAATCTGAGAAGAACAATGGGTGCTGCGTCTTGGAATCTGGTATGAGTCCTGAACAGTGTTACAAGGACTGCAAACAGTTCTCCGGATCCTTTCTGAGGCAAACCCAAGTAAGGAACACACCGTGAGACTCACCTGGCTGGATGACTTGATGAGACATAAGAGAAACTTTTCAGAGGTGATTAGTTTGCAATTGTTGAGACTCACATGGCCAAATGACTTAACGAGACATAAGAGAAACTTAAAGAGGTGATTAGTTTGCAATTGTTTAAGCTGATGAAAAAACTCATCCTATAATCATTAATCGATGCCTGTCTTTTTACTTGCTGTAACTTAAAAGTGCAGGGGAGCGCTGACTTGGTGCTTAGTCTCCAAAGAAGTCTAAGCCCTCTGCATTAAATGTCATTCTGACTCGGTTTCTCATTTTCACGGTCCCTGACTGCAACAATATTATCTCACTTATATGTGGAATCTTAGAAAGCCTACCTCTTAGACACAGAGTAGATTGGTGGTTGCCATGAGCTACAGGGTGGTAGAAATGCATGATATCCATCAAAGGCTAACAAACTTCTAATTAGAAGATGAATAAATTCTGGAGATCTAATACTCAGCACTGTGATTATAGTTAATGATACTGTATTAGATACTTGAAAGTTAAGAATAGAGATCTTAAATGTTCTCACTGCAAAAAAAAATAGTATATTATGTGATGGAGGTATAAGCTAATGCTATGGTGGTAATATTTTTGCAATATATAAGTGTATTTAATCAACACATTGTACACCTTGAATTTACAAAAAGTTATGTGTCAATTTTATCTCAATAAAGCTGGGAAAAAACTTCACTGAATTGTAAATTTTAAATGTCAATTTCATGGCATGTGAATTGGATCTCAATAAAGGTGTTATTAATTTTTTAACAATTAAATTTACAAAATTAGATGTTAGAAAATTTACAAAAAGTTGATTCCGGGGCTCTTGTTTGCAGAGTCGAAGAATGAACTTAGCAAACAGTCAAGGTAGGAGAGCCAGTGAGACTTTTATTGAGAGATACAGTGATAGGACAGACAGAGCTCCTGGCGTGAGCCAGGAGGGGACAAGAGAGCCCGTAGTGGTGCCTTGTCTAGGGGATTTATAAGCGGTTGAGAGACAAAGAGATAGGGATGTAGATCCACCAGATGGTCTCTAAATGTTTATCTTTAAAGAGACACTAAGTTTCTTATCAGTTTTCCAGACTATTTTGCAGAGTTAACATAAGAAATTTACTGCTTTGATCCTTTTTCAGAATAGCAGTTTCTTGGTTTGGGAGTATATCAGTCGAGGCGACTTGTTTTGCTTTGAAGCTGAGCTGAGTTATTGACTTGATTAGGTTTGTAGGAGGAAAAGCAGCATCTGGGCTTTTTAGCAGGCTGAAGTAAATTCTACAATAGCTTCGTTTAATTGACATGAAGAAGACATGGGCTATGCTGAGGTACTTTCTTACCTGGGGGATGTTCAAACATTCTAGGCTAAGTTACTCCTGGGTTTTTAGTTTTAACTAAGTTTCACTGAAGAATGCTTATATTCCTAGTTTGATATATTACTTTAGAGAATTAATGTGACTCTGACTTTGCTTAATTGTTTAATATGGAGTTTTGTTAGGGGTCTTTTTCCAGAGGCCTTCACCCTACTCTGACTAAACCCATGGTCCCTGTCTCAGAGTCTGAATAGATATTTCTTCCAAGAAGATGTACAAAAGGCTACTGTACATGAAAATCTGCTGCACATCATTAGCCATCAGGGAAATTCAAATCAAACCACGAAGAGAAATGACTTCTTACCCACTATGGAGGTTATTCTCTAAAGAGGCAGATAATACAAGTATTGGTAAAAGTGTGGAGAAATTGAAACTCTCATACATTGCTGGTGGGAATATAGAATTGTGCCGTCACTTTGAAAGAATCTAGCAGTTTCTTAAAAGCTAAACAGTTACCATTATGGCCCAGTATTTCTACTCCTAGATATGTATTCAAGAAAAATGAAAACATATGTCCGTGCAAAAACATGTGCATGAGTTATCACTATGAGCATTACTCATAATAGCCAAAAAGTGGAAACAATTCAAATTCCATTAACTAATGAATAGATAAGTGAAATATGATATATCCATACAACTGAATATTATTTGGAAGTAAAAAATAATGAAGTACTGATACATGTCCATAGCATGGGTGAAGCTTGAAAATGTTATGCTAAGTGTGATAAAATATTTTATGATTCCATTTATATGAAATATCCAGAATAGGCAAAGCTATAGGTAGTAAGTGATTGCCTAGGGCTGAGAGGGCAGATAGAGTTGGATGGAAATGGAGAGTAACTGCTAATGGGTTGGGGTGTTTTGGGGGGGATGATAAAAATATTCTAAAGTTGGCTATAGTAATCTAATTGTTATATGTTTTCAAAGATGCTAAATACCATTGAACTGCATCCCCTAAATGAGTGAATTGTATACTATTTTACTTATATCTCAATAAAGCATTAAGAAAAAAATAGATAATCTTTATTTATTTCTTCTTGAATAAGCTTTGGTAGTTTGTGTCTTTCTTGGAATTTATTCATTATGTCTAAGTTTTCACTGTATTTCATTTTGGAAAGAAATGTGTTCAATGTTTTCAAGTTGCTGAGTCATCTTTTGGAGTGTCCAATTGGCTGCTTATCCTATCTAGTGTATTTTTCATCACAGGCCTTGTACTTTAACCTTGAGAAGTTTGATTTGGGTCTTTTATACACCTTATGTGTATCTCATTACATGTTCATGCTTGCCTTTACTTTTTTGAAATATAACTATTATAACTCTATTAATGTCCCTCTCTATTAACTCTATCATCTATGTCATTTTGGGGTTGATTTTTGTTTGATTTTTCTCCTCTATATGCATGCTAGTTTTCTGTTTGCTTGCCAAATATGGTGAATTTTACCTTTTTGGCTGTTGGTATTTTTGTCTTATAAATATAATACATCTTTGTTTTGGAATGGTGTTAGGTTACCTGGAAACAGTTTGATTCTTTCAAACTTATTTTCAATTTTTATTAGAATGGACATAGCAGAATTTATTCTATATTGAATTTGGCCTCGCTAACATGGTGGTACCCTTCTGAGTACTCTGCTCAATGCACTGCTTATTACAAAATTTTTCCATCCAATACATTGGAAATATGAAATACCCCAGGTGAAGGTAATTGTTTTACATGTTTCTGTACTGTGATTCTTTGCCCAGCCTCCAATGGTTTCCTCCCATGCGTGCACACAGAGGTGAACTCTCAGAGTTTGAGACTACAAAGATTTGTATATGGATATTCATAGCAAGTTTATTTGTACTAGCCAACAGCCAAAAACCTGGAGATAAACCAAATGTCCATTAACAGGGGCACAGATAATTGAATTGTAGTATATCCATACAATGGAATACCACTCAATATTAAAAAGGGAATAAATTATTCATAGACACTGAGAAAAGACTGGTGGTTAAGACAGGGGAAGGCATTGGGGTGGGTGGGTGAAATAGGTGAAGGGGATAAAGAGGCAAAGGTCTCAATCATAATATAACTTAGTCACAGGGATGAAAGTACAGCATAGAAAATATGGTCAATAGTTCTGTAATATCTTTATATGTTAACAGAGAGTAACTACACTAGTTGGGGTGAACACTGAATAATGTATATAACTGTCGAATCACTATGTTGCATACTTGAAACCAATACAATATTGTATACCAACTATACTTCAATAAAAAATATATTACCAAATGGAATACATTATTTGTGTATATGGCAACATAAATGAATCTGAATATATGCTGCCTAAATGAAACCAGAGAAAAAGTGTTCAAAGAGTATGAGTATATTTGTATAAAATTCTGGAAAATAAGCATGAGTCTTTACTTACAGACAGCAAATCACTGCCTGGTGATGGAGGCACAGAGAAAGCAGGATGGATTTCAAAGGGGCACAGGGATACTTTTGGTTGTGATGGATATTGTATCAAGCAGGGTTCCACTTGAAAAACAAAGCCAGTAGATGATAGATGATTGATAGTTATTAAGGATATAAATATATTAATAATTAATTATACATGTATATGCAAATATATGTATATGTACTTAATTTATATATATAAATTTTTGGATAGGAATTGGCTTGCACAATTGGGTGGGCTGGCCAGGCAAGTCTGAAATCCACAAGGCAGTCAGTAAGTAAGGGCAGGCTCAAACTCATAGGCAGGAGCAGATGTTGCAGCCCATAAGTCGGATTCCTTCTTCCCTAGGGAAACATCAGTTTTTGTCTTAAGGTCTGTCAACTGACTGGATGAGGCTCACCCAGATCTTCGAGAATGAGCTCCTTTATACTGAATCAACTGATTGAAGATGTTAATTACATTTATAAAATACCTTCACAACAACACTTAGGTTAGTGTTAGATTGAATAACTCTAATATTAGATAGATATCTGATAGCCCAGCCCAGCTGATACATTGTTTTGTGCCTGTTCCATCCTATGGATAGTCAGTATTGTAGTTGGACTGGTCCTTGTGGTTCTTACTATGATTGCAAGGAACCCTCAGTAATAACCACCAGGCAACTTTGAAGAAAACAACAAAGTTAATTATTCCAAGTTCTGGAGGGTAAATGGCCTACTTGGAGGCACACAGCAAGGACGTCAGGGAAAAGAGAGATACTGACGGCCTGAGGTTCTGTTTTCTTTGGGATGGTGGGGAGCTAGAGTTTCATGAGTTCACTCTTTAATGGTGAATTTAAAACATAAAAGTTGGAATTAAAGGGCAGGAAGGAAAAGACAAACAACAAGTGGCTGAATGGTCAGTTATCTAAGTCAACCAGATCTCTAAAACAAAGGAAATACGGGAGTGAGGGTGGGCCTGGTTCTTTATCTAGTCGCGTGGCTGTCAATGTGCTTTTTCAAGATGGCCATCTTTGAAGAGGATGCCATCAAAGCTTAAGTTAGATACTTGCATTACAAAAAAGAAACCAACTGTCAGGGATTATGCTACCCACATGAAACTAACCATCACAGTCTATGCCTTCTTAACTTGACAACCATACATTTCTCCTTAAATTATACTTAATCTCCAAATAAAGACAGTAACAAAGTCATACTTCTAGCTAACATGATACAGTTATCCTGTGTACTACTGAAAAGATGTTAACACTTTCCTCCAGAAGGGAATGCAAATTCCTTGGGTGATGTTCACTTTCTTGACATTCTGTAACTTAAATTTTGTGATACAAAGTTAACTATTATTAATACATCTTATGTTAGATGATAAGATGATAAAGTGGGGAGTGAAAGTATTTGATATATATGCAAAAACACATCTGTAACAAATTAAGAATGAAATATGCATAACAATTACAGTTTTATTTCTATAACTGGTTATGTGATTGTATTTGGTATTTATAATTACTTTCTTCTACGATCCATTTCTATTTCCTTTTCCCTCTGCAAGCATGTCAGTTGGTCATATTTATTTGCCTGATGGGTTGATCAAAACTTCATTCCTAAATGTTCTGGGTCATGAGCAGTTCTGTCTGAACTGGGTTGTTGTAGTTTTCCATTGACTTCGATCATAGGACATCGTAATACTAAGAGATGCTGTAAAGGATCTCCTCTATTCCAGACACTCTTGCTCACCTCCACTGTGTAGTAGCAGCCTAATTTTTCCACTGGTAATTAAAATCAA